TCATTATATAGAGCTGGAGGGTTGCTTGCTCTACAAAATCATCGTGGTAATTTGGGGAGAATATTGAACATTATATGTAAAAACTGTAAAGCAAATGAGTAGGCTATTAATTAAGGAAAACGTTTTTCCTTCGTGATGGTTTTTCCCGATTTAACGGCTGACGTCGAAATCGTTTGAACAAGATCGGTCATAAAGGTATTTTTACGCATTTTAAATGCTTTGTATTTCGTACAGAATTAGGCTAATGAGCTTTTAGTGACTGTTTTTCTTTCTTTTTTTCTTTGCAATAGTATGTGGCAGTTTCATTGGAAATTATTCGCAGGACATTTTCAAGAACTCCTCCTTATTTGTTCTATAGCCTAAATCGTAAATCTTCTGAAGAAAGGCCGCCTATAAATATTGCCGCCGAAAAGATGCTTTTTTTTCGTTTTAGGATTTAATGAAATAATGTATTTCACCTTTCAAACGCTTTCATAAGCAAATTCGAAAATTTAATAGAACACAAGTAGGCCTAGATCATATTGACAAAGCAAGAGAAAATATAATAGCCTATATGTTTATTCAGCAATACACTAGATGAGAGAAGCTTAACATAGAATGCAGTGCAAAAACCATAACATCATAGAAAACAATGATCTGAAATATAAGCATAATGTTAAGAATTTTAAACCAGTTGCACGTAAACCTCGGACATTATTTCAATATGAAATTAATACAAAGTGCTGGAGAAAGTTAATAGCTCAATAACGAATGCCATGCATACTTTCTAAACTGTAAAAAAGCGATTCATATCATAATAACAATAAAATTCACGAATGAAACCATAAACACAAAAACGTGCTCTGTAGCCTATGCTTTTATCCATTCTGAAATCTGAAATGTTGCAGATAGAGTTTTAAAAATCCTTCTGTTCACTCAGTACAGTCTCTATTCTTAATGCAGAATGACTCAATTAGCTAGTGGTTAAAGTACCTTGTCGAAATGATTTTGATCCCTTAAATCATTAGGCTACATCTTGCATAACACATAAGAAGTTGTATATAAATGCTTTGCAGGTAACATAAACAATATGACGCGTAACAATACAAATACATTTCCACCACACCGCACTTTTCTCAGTATATAACTGAATACAATTTAAACAGGCATAAGAATAGTCCTTTTCTCTCCACAATATTTTTATTCGCAATGTTTTGAATATTCTATTGATATTATTTCCTCCGCGGCAGAGCTATTCACTTTTGTCCCAAAGCAGCCGTGCTTCAAACTTAAAAAATAAAAAATAAAAAATAAAAACATCCGGCAATATCATTTCTTCAAGTTCGCCACATCGAGGAATCATGGAGGTTTTATGAATTTGTCGCAGCTCAGCCGATTGTTCAGAACGGTAAGGTATCGTGAAAGAGTTTGTCGATGATCGCAGGCGTGGGAACCAAATCCTCCAGTTTCAAGTAAAAGATGCGCTGCAGTCCCTGCGTGCACAGAGCGCGCACCTCCGGCAGCTTCTCCAACAGTTTAGACAACTCTCCACTACAGGACACCTGATCCTTCAGACAGTTTATGAGCTTGTTTTGAAGTTCCTCTGTTTTCTTGGGCTCTTTTAGTCCGTGTCTCTCTATGGAGATAAGAAACGGTCCGTCAGAGGTCTAAAACACGCTGTATATTCTGCGTATCACTTGGAAAAGGTCAGACATGTCTTACCTGTAACCATGGTGAGAGCAGCTATGCAGGAGAAGGCAGAGACGTCTATGCTCATGTTCTGAAGGTTGGAAGAAAACTCGACGATAGAGTCGATCCACTCCCCAAAGCCACGCACGCACTGCAACTTGTGTAAAACCACTCCATTGCAGAACATGAGTTTGTCCTCTGCCAGGTTAGATCTGAAAATTGTTAAAGTGATTATTTAGATCCAGCAAAAAAACAGCGAGTCCGTTTTTAGATCATGACTGCTTACCTGTAAGCCAGCCGCAGCACAAAAAGTTCAAGGAAGGCCGATTCGAAAAGCAGTTCTTGGTCGCATTTGGGCAAATCAGTAAATCCGGGGATTTTTTCGGCCCATCCGCGAATGATGCTCATCGAAGCAGTGAGAAGATCGTAGAACTGCTGAATGTGCAGAGATTCATCTCCTCCACTATGATACTCTGGACTCGCCTGAAACTAGAATTGAATACAAAAAGAAAATAGGATTGGAGAAATGTCAATATTTGTTCAAATAAAACTTTATGATTAAATGCAACTTTGGTCTCTTATAATTTTGTGTAAATTAGACTATCTCACATTCTATCATTACTTCTGGAATTTGAATGGTGAATAGTTGTTAATTTATTACTTAATTCATTAAATCGTTGCAAACAATGTTTGATGCTTACTTTAGAGTAGTCCAGGCGGGCCATGGAGGGGTTGGAGTCTATGTGCGCTCTCACTAGGGCGTTCAGGAGACTGACGGGTGTCATAGAGACCGGGATTTCCTGCGGACTTTTAGGTTTGGAGGGGAGTCGACCTCTTCGACCTTTTAAACTGGCTGATCTTACAACTGTAAATATATATATATATATATATTGGTTATACACACCGCACCGCAATATGAAGCCACATCTATTTGATAATACAATGCAACGGGCATCATTTTAAAGATGCCTTGGACATGTGAAAAAAACAAAAATGTACTCGACATTACCTTCCTTCACCATCCCTACGACCAGGCACTTTTGAAAACGGCAATACTGGCATCGGTTTCGCCGTCTTTTATCCACATGACAGTTTTTGTTTGCCAGACAAACGTATTTGGCGTTTTTCTGCACCGTGCGCTACAAAGAAACAGCACATGCATGTAGCGTATTAATTGAATGTAAATCTTCGCCATTCGCATGGACAACTTGAACGCACAGCAATCACAGTATGAAGTTACAATGGAACAGGACACTCAAACCCTGCACTCCAATCCAAAGCTGTGTAATACATTCAAGGGCCGGACAGAGCAGACATTCGGTAAATACAGATCCGTGGGCAGCCATAATTTGGGGTCCCCCGACGCTCTCTCCGCGACCCCTCTTGTCGGATTAGCGAGATTATTCTATCACGACGGTGACATAAAGAGCGGTCTTAATGTCACCACTGGGAGTTCCGTTACGCTCGGTTAGGCGCGATACGACTCTCAGCACAAACCAATTTAATTCTAGACGAAAGTAATGGTGGCAGAGATGAACGGAGGTGTCCCTAGGTGCATATTGGGTCAAATCAATACAACTGAGATAGTTAAGGGTAGCCTAGGCTACTGTAGATCAGTTCTAAACCATGCATTTTCTTGTTCTAATCTCTAGTTGGGCAGGTAGCCAAAAGGTTATAGGTTCAGACCTTCGATGAACTATAGTCATTTACCCCAGTGGGACTTTGACTGTAATAAGTGTAGTAGGCTACTTTGGGCAAAAGATAAAAAAGTGTACCTTGAAGAATCCTTTGCACCCCTCGCATGTGCGCACCCCGTAGTGCTGGCAGGCTGCGTTGTCCCCGCACACAGCGCACAAACCTTCGCTGGATGGAGATCCTCTAGCCGGAGGTGAGGCCACCGGGCTTTCCAGTAAAGGGTGTCCGACGTTAAGCGAATGGGATAAACCCACAGCGTGCTGTTTCCTCGGAGGTGCCGGTAAAGCAAAACTGTCCAGCGCACGGTGCGCACCCGGGGTGTCCGCGCCCATGGACACGTGCAGAGATCCATCGAAGCGCATCTGGCAGCTTGACATCGGCGTGTCCACAGGAGACTGCTTGAACGAGAATAACCGAGACATCGCGTTTTTCCGCTGCTGGTCTATCATGTGTGAAGTCGCCAGGTAGTTCTGATGAAAACTGTTAAGGGACCCGCTGTCTTCCCACGTGTGGTGTGGAGGCGCCGGGAAACTGTGTGACTGGGAGATGTTTGGGGAGGCTGGTTTATAGTATATAGGTCCGGTATGTTGTAGGCTCTCCTCAGCCTGGTGGGGCTGATGCTGCTGCTGCTGATGGTAGCTGTGTGCGGGTATCTCCTCCACCTTGATGGACAGCTGATCTCCAGAGTGGGACATTTGGTAGAGGCAGGGAGGCTTCACGTCGTAGCTGGAACTGTAGGTGTCCACAAAGGTGCTGAAACTGGGGAGCGAGGAAGTGACAGCTATTTCTGCGTTAGTCAGGTCCATGCTAAACTTGACAAACTCCGGTGTTAGGAAGTCGCAGTTGTACTCTCCCGTGGTGTAAAAAGTAACTCAGATATTCTCTTGTAAATTAAAAAGTAATGCGTTACTTTACTAGTTACTTGGGAAAAGTAATCTGATTACGTAACTTGCGTTACTTGTAATATATTACCCCCAACACTGCTAGAAACACTGTTCAGTAGTGACGCCATATCTGTTTCACCTGCATCATACTTAGGGAAAGTTTCAATAGATTAGGATGTGTTTCATCTGATTCCACTGCTCTCTCTGAGCGGTGAAGGGTTTCCATTGTGAGAAGGGAGTCACCGCTGTAACAGAGGCAACTTTGTTTGGACTGAAGCGAGCTGCGTCAGCGCTACGTCAGCAGCTTCCAGCTCCATGACGCTTGATGCGGTCGCGCTGAACTTTGTTAGGCTGAAAGTCTCACCTGTGCAACTGACACGATAAAGTGCCTTGCAAAGAATGTACATTTTTTTGGTAAACATTCTAAAGTGCATGCTGTCCTATATATAGTGCCTCAGTTAAGCTATTCTTTGACATTTCATAATAGAGAAAGAAAATTAGCTGTAAACAACAAATACTCGTCTAAACATACACTCAGCATAACTATACATGCGGTCCAAATCCATTTAGTACTGAGAGTTAAACAGTGTCTTAAGTGTGTTTGTACACCGTCCCTCATAAAGGATGGTTTTACAAAACGCCTTTCTATTCCAAGTGGACACGCCTTCCTAAAAATGATTGGACGAGAGATGTGAATCCTCTATACTGATTTGTCCATCCACCTGTCTGTCAAATACTTCCTGTCATCGTACTTCCTAGATTTCTGAATAAGTAACATTGTAACATCACAGTTGATACCGTCACTGTCCATGATTTTCCGTTTTAGACATCATCATCATCACCATCGCCAAAACCAGTAAGTAAAAACCAGGGTTCTCGGCATATTATGTGCTGTATTATTTGCCGTCGTTCGTCGAGCCTGTCCGATCTGTTCTTGGATGCGAGCCAGCCACTGTTGCTCCAGCCCATAATGTGTCAGTTCTTAAAATGTATGTCATAGAAATTGCATGATAAGTTAAATTCAAAGCTGTATTTGTTTTATGTTATCGCACGATGTACTTGCAACGAGCTCGATGGGTGATGGTTGATTCGATGTCTATAATAGGGTTCATGTGAGTTCATGTGATGGAGTGGATGGGTTACATGAGTCTGTATTCATCACTGTTGTCTTTAAGATCTGGGAATAAAGGCAACTCTTCTGATTTTTCTAATGGAGTGAAAACGGTTTGAGGTAAGATTGTAGAGATGTAATAGGCTGACTTTAGCCTGAATTACTGTACATGTTCACACTTCAATCTAGGAGTCTCATATTCGCTTGATTCTCGTACACGAACTGTAAAATAATAACCTGTAAGATCACTCTCAGACGTTATGGCTCCTCTCTCTCTATGCACATGGTTTGCCATAAACGGACCATGCGGGACAGGCGTGAAGTCAAGCAGTGTAGTAAAAATGACTCATTCACTTCCTCTAGTATCATGTAGTGAAATGACTTGCATCCCTACCCAGAGATTGATTATGGCTTTACTTTGACCTTCACCAGAGATTTCAGTCAGTTTTAAGATTCATACAGTAGTTGTTTAGCTACACAAACTGGTCCTGGACATATCAGTTTTGTTTCATTTTGACACAAAACACTGGTGAGTTGTGAACAAGTGCTACAGGTTTGTTTAATTTTATCATGCCAAGGTCAGGGAATGTGATCGGGGTGATAAGGAAGTTATTTTATTCTGTTTTCCTTTTCTTTTTAGCTTCTCAGTATGACTGACTTTTATAGCAATGTATTTTCTTTATAATTATCAGAAAATCAGTCATGTTTTCATAAAGTAACCTTGAGATGTATTGGATATGTTCTTTAAGATTATTTTTATAGCCTACATACACTCTTTATCAGTCCTTTAAAGGTTATGTTTTCTCTTTTTTTAACTTGAGAATAGCTAATTTTAGTTAATTGAGTATAATTTGAAGACATCAGAAAGGAGTCAGTAACAGGCAATTATAAAACAAAATAAAAAAATTATAATGATCTAATTGTTTTCACGCATAAGCACAATGACATCATATTGTTAAATCCTTAGTTTTTTTTAAAACTGTATTATTTATCCTAATAATATACATTATAAATGCACAGTACATTGCAAAATGCTTATCAGGAAGTGATACCAACATGATGTTTTCTGAACGTTTTCTGTTTCCAAAGGCATTTATTCAAAAATCTTCTTAATTTTTTAATCTGTTTCAGGGATCAATGGCTTTCAGAAAGGCAGTGAAGGGAACCCTAATAGGGGGCGGAGCTATAGCAACAGCCTTCGGCCTATCACAGTTCTTTGAATACAGGAATAATCAGGTATTGTTTTAAATAGCATCAGTGTTGTTGCTCTACCTTATTCCGTCTAAATATAAAGATTTGGCAAATCCTTTTGACAAATACCAAACATTTTATTTTCACATCTCACATCCATACAGTGACTCCTACAGGTTAGACTGCAGAATACACAGACCGCAGCTGTTCACACCCATCTGTACCACAGCATGTCTTGTCCTGACTCAGGAATGTTCCCTATGTGTTCGTGGTAATAAACACCGTAAACAGCAACCGTTCGCATGTTGGCGCTTAATGCACTAAGCTTAATATAGCTTATATAGCTTAATGCGCTATATGAAAAGCATTTTAGGGGGCCCTTGGCTTTTGGGGGCCCAAGGCGGTCGCCTACCTTTGCCTAATGGGTAAGTCCGCCCCTGGTGGCCAGTATAACTCTGGCCCCGTATTTTGATCTTAAAGCAGTGATCAATTTATAGCTATTTATAACTATTCCTTATTTATAATTCATAAAGGTTTATTCTTGTTTTCATGTGGTCAACAAGTGTATGGGACAGATTTCTTGAATGAGTGCTACAAATCTTATTAAGATTAGACCTATAAATCCAGATACATTGGAAAACCTCATTTGCACCTTTAGGTACTGTCTCAAGTCTCCAAACTTACCCCGTTCTCTCTCTAGGGTAGACCACCGTATTAAAATCAGGGTTTGTTTGCTAAAGGGAGATTACACTTGAACAGTGATACACACATTGTTTAAAGGATCTCTCTTGAATATGTAATCATGAACAATCTGATCCCCATTCACGCCATCAGGGAGTGTGTAACACACCATGTTCTGTCCGTATTTAAACTAGTAAGAACCCCAGGGGTCTCGTCTGTTTAGATGCTATACCAAATAACGGAAGGTCAAGTAGATTAAGATAATCAACAAGGCTTTCTGAAACAAATGAAGAAAAAAAGACAGACCCTTGAAGAGCAATGGGAGTCCTGATTTTCTCTCTCGTCATTTATTTAAATCTTCCCAAGCCCATTTTGTCCATTATCTTGCATCTCAACTGTTCCAATCCCAATGAAACTACAGGGAGCGAGAGAATTGTGCACTCTCAAGGACATGGTTTCCATGGAGATTGTCACTACACGATTAATTTGTCAAAAAAAAAAAAAACAGTTAAAGAATTGATAAAAAAAATATTTTTTCTAACCATCTTCAAATTTTGTTACCAACATCAACACTCTGCAAGACTTCATTGGATGTACTGCGGCAGTCAATCAGATCACCTTCACGTCACATTTGCAACCCATGTTAAGCGTTTCACTGACACAAACTTTTGTTCTGATGTTTCTCCATTTATTTGTTCATTTATCCCTTGTGTCATCTCAATGCAGCCGAAATGGGTAAGCAAAAGTCAAAAGAGAAAGAATGAATCTTCTTTCAAAAATTGCTTGCAATCATGCATGTGGCAGATGCTAATCTTTGGGATTGTAATGTAAATTTAGTGAGCGTGTGTGTGTGTGTGTGTGTGTGTGTGTGTGTGTGTGTGTGTGTTTGTGAGTGCCTGTTTGTCTCCTCTATGGCAAGGGCACTGTTACACTCTGGCTGAAGTATCACTCTGCCGTGGCCGATTGCGTATTTGCATGAAATTCTCTGTTTCCGTCATGCACTAGTCCTGATTGCAGGACAGCCCCTCTTAATACTGTGCGGATGTTTTAAATATGTGTGTCCTTGGAAATAGACACTAATTACTGAATCTTGTTTTTACATGCTATTACTGTCTAAATTGCAAATGTCTGGGCTCATTTGGTCATTTGCAAGTCAAATGGACCCTACGGGCTTTTGGGGGCAGATTGATGTAATCATTTAGGCCAAATGCTAACGAAAAAATGAATAAAACGTTTCATTATGGCTAAAACCCTCGACACCTAGCGTCGCCCAGGCTTGTTTTCTCTTCATTTGAATTTTGCGTTTTTTTTGCCTTCATGCGGCCGATAGATTGGCAGCTATTCATTCACAATTTCATAGTCCCTCTGTTTGACTTTATAAGAAAATGAACAGTTGATTTAGTTTAAATACCTAAACTGATATCAAGCTTAAGTATAACATATCACATATTGCTGTCTGTTATACCGTTTTGTCCCGAATATAAGACGATATTTTTTTCTTGGAAATACATCTGAGAAAACGCGGTCGTCTTTTATTCAGGGTCTAGACTTTGACATGTCAATAATACACCCACAACACTAGGTGGCGCCAAATACGCATAAAACGAGTGTGCCATTAAATACGTAATGTAATGCGTGTTGTAAAGATCGCGAGTAAAAACAAAAGAAGCAGAAAACCTTACAGCTGCATGAGTCGTGACTGTCACGTTAGCCTGATGGCACCAAACTCCCTTTGTGATTTTAAAACGTAAGACAGTACCCAGATTTGAAGACTACAGTAACAATATTACTCAAGATCATAAGACTCACAGAAATTTTTTTTATGGTATATCAAAAAGTGTATATTTTTTAAATGTGATTGTTGGTACATTTTACCAGTTTTTACCATACTTTCAAAACAAAAATTAAAATAGGAAAAATATGCAATATGAAAATAATTGAAGACAAAATGTGTTTTACTGAGAAAAAACAAGATTTGGTTTTTAAAAAGCCTTTTTCCAAAAGGTACATCTGGAAAAAGGGGGGGGTCGTCTTATAATCAGGGTCGTCTTATATTCTTATACATTTATAGACATGTTTTCTTGTCTTATTTAATCTAAATGAATCTGTTTTAATTTACTTTATTATTATTATTATTTAGTGCTGTCAAACGATTAATCGCAATTAATCGCATACAAAACTTTGACCACATTGTCCTCTTATGTTCTATTTTCTGTTTTGTACCTGCTGGATATGTTCAGGCTCGGCTGGCATATGTTGAAGCACAGGGTGAGCTAAAGGTGCCGTTTAAAGATGCTCTCCCAACAAGAGAGGAGCAGCTTTCAACACTGCGAAACACAGAGGTGTTTGATGTCTTGGTGGTGGGCGGCGGAGCCACGGGCTCGGGATGTGCCTTAGACGCTGTCACACGGAGTATGTAATCTCTTTTTATTTTGACAAAGTTTTGCAGTTTTTACTAATAGAAACTTTGAATGAGTGTGTTTATTGTGCAGGTCAGTTTCAATCCAATAATAAATTTGCCCTGTATGCATTTTTAGTGTTAATTTAGTTTGCTTACTTTCTTAAATGTGATGATTTATATTGGATTTTGATGTTTTATTCTCATTAGACCACTCGGGAGGCCAGGCAGAATGTGCCTGGGTGCAATAAGCATGTTGTGATATTACAGATAGTGGAGAAAGCCATATGTAAATGACAGCAACTGCAGTCTAAATATTTGGCACCATAAGGTCTTAAAATGCCAGTGCATTGTCTAATCCGTTCCTTACCTGTCTTTCTGCCCCCTCGTCCAGATCTGAAGACCGCCCTGGTAGAACGGAGCGATTTTTCATCGGGCACCAGCAGCAGAAGCACCAAGCTCATTCACGGCGGAGTCCGCTATCTGCAGAAAGCCATCATGAAACTAGATTATGAGCAGGTGAAGGCCCCATTTTTCCCTATTTGCCCCTAATATTTCGAAGAAGGATTGCAAGGCCGCTTACGCCACCACTGTGACATTTTAAACACATCAGACAGACAGAGAAAAGCACAAACATTAAGTAGGATACTGCAGATCTGAAGTATCAGTGTGGAGGATGATTAAACAAAACTTACAGTAGCTTGACCATCAACTGTTTCAATAAGTTCTTGATTATCGATATATCGATTATTGGAAATAGAAGCATTCTAAAATTTTAAACTCAAACTGACTGCAGTAAGAATTGGTTGTTGGCCACCTTAATGTAATTTTAAAAATGCTTATTTGAAATATGATTTAATAAGTATTTAATAGGGAGCAAAATGGCCTTGAAATACAAGATCACATTTATATTAATTGCATCTATCAATATTTGCTGTCAAATAAAGCCTCTAAATGAGGATAATTTGAAGACTTGAATTTTCTATGGGTTTTTAGAGTTGAGTTTTTTTTTTTTTTTTAGTAAATTAACATCTTTGGTTAAGATTAATTAACAACATTTTCAAGTTTTGTTTTAGAACATAAATCTACATAAATGCAAAATCGACAATTCAGATTTTCCCTGAAAATATGTATACAGTAATCCTCTGGAGCCAGACAGTTTTTTGCTTAACAGATTTATTTCTTCTTTCTTAGTACATGATGGTGAAAGAGGCCCTTCATGAACGTGCCAACTTGCTGAACATCGCTCCCCACCTGTCTGCACCTTTACCTATAATGCTTCCTGTTTACAAGTAAGAAAACCAGTTGTATCTAATTACAATACACAATAAAATAATACAATACTACAATAAAAACACTGACCATTGAAAGGGAAACATAAATAAAAAAGGAATGGAACTATGGGATTTAGACAGAAGAAAGTTAAAGAGAAATACTGGAGACATCCTAGATTCATAAAAGACAGTTTTTGTATTTAAATCCATTGATAAGTTCACAGAAATGGCATTGAACCTTTCATATGGACACCTGCAGCAGGTGGGGTTGGAATATTCTGTGGATCAATGCTGGACCTCTCGCCTCCTCAGTCTCTGCCCCTTGTCATTCTGGGTTTTTAAAGGATCTTCCTGTCTTTACCATCATCATTACTAATTACTCGTGGCATTTATGCCTTGCTCTGATATTTAAAGCAGCCGGAGAAGTGTGAAAGGGTCATAGAAATGAGAAACCTCAAGATTACATCATTTGCCTGTCCAATTTTTTTTTTTTTACTTAAAACAAATATGTCACAAGACTTAGTGGACAACTCTAATTTTGTACATGTACAACCATATCTATTTTAATTAGTAATATACCCTGCTACCTAGTTGCCTCTTTATAACCAGCAAACAGACAAGGCTGGGAAACCAATTAAGACCAGCAAACCATTTAGTTTGGGCTGGTTTAGTTTTAGTTTTTCTTATTCACCAGGGTACTCAAAATATGTTAGTATATTTTAATGCAGATTGTGCAGTGAATACATTTGCTGAATTCATGTTTGAATTCAGTAGTGACAGGGACTGTTGATGTTCTCCACAGGTGGTGGCAGCTGCCGTATTACTGGGCCGGCATTAAAATGTACGACCTGGTTGCTGGATCACAGTGTCTGAAGAGCAGCTACGTCCTGAGCAAGAGCAAAGCACTGGAGCTCTTCCCTATGCTGAAGAAAGACAAACTTGTGGGAGCCATTGTCTACTATGATGGTGAGCAGGAGCGAATCTAAGGTTTAAGTCTTGCGTATGATCTGCAACTATGCACATTTTCTTTTCTCTTTTGTCCAAAAATCAATTTAAAATTCTATAAATGAATGAAATTCTAAAGTCAATTTAACTGTATACACTACCGTTCAAATGTTTATTAGATTATTATTTTATTATTTGATCAAAATGCAGTAAAATGGTAACATTGAAATATCATTACAGTTTACATTTTTTATGTATTTTAAAATGTCATTTAGTCCTGTGATGGCAAAGCTGAATGTTACTCCAGTCTTCAGTGTCACATGATTCTATTGATTTGGTGCTCAAGAAACATTCCTAACCTTTTTTCTTGTGCTTTAACACTAGAACTACCAAGGCAGTCATTTTGACTCTTTTTCAATTTTGAAACCCATATAACTATAATATCCTGACTTTTCCTAAATGTGTATATATTTTATTATAACATTGTTATTTTAATAAAATTACAAAACACAAAAGAGTTCACAAAAGTTTCTACCTTGAATGGCCAAAGCGGTCAAATTGTCCTTTCGCATTACAGACGGCGTATAATTTCTGCGCAATTTTATTTATTTTATTTATTTTTTTTCGCTGTGGAAGATGCACGTCACTATTACCTAGCAACTTTTGTTCTAGTTGTTTTTATATTCTATTGCTAAGCTAAAATTCCCGTTTGTAAAAAAGCCGGGTGGACACCTTCAATACAGCAACTGCTGTCATTCAATGCCATGGTTCCAGGTAGGCTATGTTAGGCTGGAAGACTATAGCCTGGCTGTTATCAATAATAGCCTACTTCAATGTTATGACAAAATA